TTACTGAACTTGTTTCACACACACATGCACTCACAGGATCCAGCTCCAACTTATTTTTGACATTTGGTGGAAAATAAAGGAATAGAAAGGGTGCCACCTACTGAGTTGCTCAAACATTTTTGGAGGCCAAAAAAAAAAAATCTGTGCAAATTACCAATATGCTCATTCCAGTTAAAAATAAACAAAGCTTCAAGCTATATTTGTAAGCCTGTGGGAACATAGCCATGGGGAGTGTTCTGGTTATCAAATCACTCAGCGACTGGAGCTCTTACCAGGGTGTAGGAAACTCCAGTCCAGCTCCCCCTTGACTCCCAGCAGGTTTGAATCCACCTATTCCTCTGGAAAACCCAAGCAAAGTGAATCAGGCTGTGTTGTGGCAGTCCATGAATATCTTTTGCAAGCAATTGTTTTCCAACAAGCGAGAATCCAGCAGTGCTGCACCCAACAGGAGCTGCTCTGTGGGACCCACATCAATGACCAACCCAACAGGAATTGGGAAGGTCTGCTGTCAAGTGGCTCCTGAACTCCATCAGGCAGATGAAATGTAGGCAGATATCTAAATTTACCAGCTGAAAAGGTGTATCAAGGCTCAAGAATGAAGACAGGCTCTCAGTACCACTTCAAAAGCCAACCTCCCTTTCTGACATCCATCAAGGCACAGCCTTGTCTTTAAGATCCTGCAGAGTGAGGCAGAAATATTGGAGGTGTTGTGCCAGCGCTGCAGTTTCCTCACTTGGGAGGGATAAACTATCAAAATAAGCTGCTATGTTGCCTTGATATCAGGCAGAGAAGCTGCAATTTGTGGGGTTTTGTCAGTTGTAAAGGTCAGCCTCATCAGCTTTGACATCCACAAGGGGAAGCCAAGCAAGAGCTCTGTAAATACACCTCGAGGCAGGAAAATCACACCTGTGGTAAATCATGAGGTTGCATCTGGTCTGAAGCAAGTGACAAAGCAACATCTTTGTGGGGATGGGGAATTACAAACAACCCTCCTGACTGACCACCAACACTGCTCTCCTTCATCCCCCAGAGCAGCCTCTGTGCAGAAAAGCTGGGATGTGCCTGCCATGAGTAATTTGTGGTTTAGCTTCCTTCCACAAAAGACAAGAATCATGCTGATTTTCTTTGGAAAAGTTGTAGCTATGACTGAGAGAGTCCCAGGTTTTCATTCATCTTAATGGCACACAGAGCCCTCACCAGACCTGCAGATGTGCAGCTGTATCTTGGTCTTGGCACATGCAGGCAGACGAGAGGTTTGCACCATTATTGTGTATTTAATATCTGCCAGTTTCTTGTTGTCGGGGACTGCTGCAGCAATTAAATACTTGGGAAAATAACTGTGAAACATTAACAGGTTCTTATTGTTAACAGGTATTTCTGGCAGAGATTCCTTCAGGGCAGCTTGGACAAGGCACTGGTGGAGCTGGCAATGGCATTTTTTCCCAGAGGGACCTTCAAACCCTCTTGTGTGGGGCTTTGTTTTGCTGGCAGCAGAAACCCAGCAAGAAACCCAGTTTTCAACATCCTCCTTCATGCCCACTCATAGTAAAACATTAATTTATTGGTCATGATGCTTTTCACATCTCCCCTGCCTTGGCACGGGATGCTGCAGCACCATTTATGTACTCGAGATAACAAGGGCTGCAGACCCATCCCTGCTCCAGCTCCTCAAGGGTCGAGGGGCTTTCTGCTTGCACAAGCCCTCACTGAGACATGCACCAAAACGGATTTTTACTGCTGAAATCATCCTGTCCCACCTGCTTACAGGAATTTTTGGGATTTTCCTCAAAGGAGGCAGCCCTGACTCTCTAGAGGACCTTTGTGTGGTTGTTGGGGTTCTTCACATATTTTTTAAAAAGACAAAAAAGCCAAGGCTCTTTTTTTTTTAATCTAAAAATAAAAAATGAGAGAAAATCCACTGCAAATTCACATACTTTTGCACCAAATCACACATCTTGTTATCCTTTGTAGAGAGCACATTATCAGAGCAGCGACACTGAACTACCAAATCAATCCTCAAAGCTTCTCCCCAGCTAACACCCCAGAGCAAAAGAGTTTGCAGCAAGAAACCAAACCCACACAGCCCCTACCAATGCTCTTTTCAAAGACATAAAGATTTCCAGGTGCTTGACATCCACGTTAACTTTTTAAGCAATAAAACTTGAGCGGAGGATTCCCGTTGGATCAGAGGGGAGGCTTTGCTACAACAATAGCTCTGCTGGCAAACTGACTCCTTTCAACACATTCTTGAGTTTGTATTTTAAGTGGTTTTGCCACATTGGCAGCCAAAAATAACTATTTTCTGATCAAATTCACTGGTCCTTGTAAAATATTTTAACACGCTAACTATGACCGTGAGCAGTTCTAATAGCCTTTCAAGCTGCCTGTTCAGACCTCTTAGTTTTGAGAGGGTGAAGGGGCTCCACAAAAGGCTCCAGCAGAGTGATGCCATCCATGGCTGCTGCTCCTGCAGCATTCCCAGCCCTCATTACCCAGGGATACAGCCCCTGTTTAATGTGATGCTATTTGCTGCTTTGTATTTCATACCTACCCTTAATTTAAAGTAATAATTAAGAGCAGCCTTCCCCTGTGCCTGGTAGTGCAAGGCCAAGATCCACAACAGCTACCACAGCTGAAATGTCAGGGAAAAGGGAAAAAAGCAAATGGACAGGCAGGAATTACCACACAGTCTCTACTTGCACCAATCTTGCTCTTTGATGATGATGTACAGCAAGAAGTCTTAGTGCGGTTCTTAGAAGAGGAATAAATCATTTAAAAACTGGATTTCTGGTTGAAAAAAGCCTCCTCCAGCTGCAAGAATCAGAGAATTTTCATTAAGTCACTTTGTAAGTAATTTATGGCTTTTTAAGACTTACCAAGTAACAGAGAAATGCCAGGCTGGGAACTCCCATTTGAGTGGGAACAGGGCAGAACCAGCAGCACATGGGGCATTTCCACCCCAAATGTGGCTCCACTTACCCAGCCAGCATGAGCCCAGTTCACAGTGCTGCTCCCACTGGGAAACCTCCATGGGCATCTCCAAAGAGCCGAAACAACCCCTGGGTTTCTGCATGAGCCAAGGGCTTGCAGGCAGAAAGAAAGCAAAGCACAGAACCCACTCCAAATGGCAAAACTGCAGCTTTTGTACCCCTTTAAATGGTAGGAGGCCAGTGAGGCCACCTGAGCAGGTGGATCTCAGTAACCATGGACCAACAGGGTGGTGTTGGATAACAGACCTTAATTAATTAATTACTTATCATTAGGCTCTTGGAATCACCAGAGGGAGAAGCGAGCACATGCCTTAAATCAGGATGTTACATCTGGATGGGAAAAAAACACCCAGCAGACGATGGCATGAAGCATTTAAGCATTAACTATAATATCTACACCACATGCAGCTTCTCAAGATGTTTTGCTGTCATCAGCTTAGTAGAAGATAAAGATTTATTGGGCTATTACTGAAAAGGAAGCTAGATACTGCCAAATGGCACGGACAGTTAGATGACTACTTGCTGACATCTTTATTCATATATAAAACAACACAACTGAGTTGTGTTTTTTTTAACAACCATGCTTGAAGGAATCAACAAAGAAGTGCCTTATCATGCAGCACTTTTTAGTCATTTTTAAACCATTCATGGGGTTTGGATGGTTGTTTTTATTGCGTGCATACAGAATATTCTATGAGCACCCCGTGAACTTCTGGTGCTGAGTAAAAGAAGAGATAAGCAGTGCTGGCTGCAGATGGGGGTGATGATTTCAGAAGGTGCTGAGGGACAATCCCATGGAACAGTGCTCCCTGGGCACAGTCACAAGGTCACTCTGGTCCCACATATCTCATATATCAGAAAAAAACCCTTTACTGTGAGGGTGGTGAGGCACAGGCAAAGGGTGCCCAGAGAAGTTGTGGCTGCCCCACATTTAGTTGGAAATAAATGGTCCTTTCCAACCTAAACCATTCCATGATTTATGAACATTTCAACTGCTGCAGAGGCACGGCTTTTTAAAGGTTTAAAACACAGATCAATGCTAACTCTGCAGAGGTTGAGAATATTCTGGTTTAATATTCCATGCCTAGTTTTTGATCAGCTTTTAACAGCAATCTGAGAAGTTAAAATCAACATGATATGTTGATATTAAAGGGTAACATCAACAGCTTCTAAGAATAGTAAGAATATGGCCTCTAATAAAGAAATTACTGAATAAGTTGCAAGGATTATAGAATTATTTTTAGAACATATGTCAAAAAGATGACAAACCAAATGAACTTAATTATTCTGTTCCTTGTTGAAAACTGCAGGAAGAGTGAAGTAAATCACGCCAGACAGAACCCTGCAGCATTACACAGCTCGATTCAAAATGTTTGCCCTGAAATTTCAAAAGGAATCCAAGCCTGCTCTCCCAGAAAGCAGCAAGCCAGAGCTGCCCACTTTTTCTCTGACAGCTTGATCTACCGTCCCCCCTTTGTTACACATTTTGAATTCAATTTAGCCTGCTACTTCCAATTAACCGGCACACTCTTACTGCATTATTTGGCATTAAGCAGGCACACATGTTCCTTCAGCCCCTGCCAATGTGAGAAGACAATACCCTGAAGGTGAACCAGGCCATTTGCTGGCAGAGCTGGGCTCTGGGAAGTGCCCAATCAGGCTGATGGGAGGTTGCAGGTGTGTGGTTTCAAACGCCTTCAAAGCGCTCCGTGCCCAAGTCTTCCCAAAATGTAACACTTCACAACCATCCTCTCCCAGCAAGATTTATGCTGTGTTTTGAATATTTCTAATACTCTGGAGTGCCAGAAAGCTCCATTTGTCAGGCTCAGTCACTGGCCAGGCTGCCCTGGTCAGGGATCATATACAAACCCATTTGGGCACAGGCCATTATTTATTCTACACAAACTACCAAAAGCAGGTGTGATTTCAGCCTGTTTGCCCTGAATGTCAATTAGTTCGGTAGAATAAAATCTCATCTACAGCATAAGCCTGTTGCTTCACAACTAGAAATGAGGGAAAATCAAGACCAAGTTTTAATGACATGTTTATATAAAAAAAAATCAGCATCCTTTCACTACAACACGTCTACAACAGAAAGTACAGTACAAACCCGAGATACATCCCACACATTTCTTGAAAAGGGATTACAAATTCACAGAGACATAATATTGCTATGCAAGTGCTTATTAAAAGCAATAAAAAGAACAAACCCAACAACTCATGCTCTACAAGGCTGAGATTTGGTGCTTACTGCTGGAAATTGCTTTACACAGTGTCAGAACTTAAAGCTGTGACCTTGCCAAAGGATTACTGGGCACAGTTGCAGCCCATGCAAAGAGCTACTCAGGTCAACCTGAAGGAAAGTCCTTCAAAAACTGGGGGCTGAGGAGGTTTCTAGCCTAAATATAAAAGTATTAACACAAGAATGGGAGGATGGAGGCTTCTTGGTCCACCAGCACTCTCAAAGATTGTTCCTGAGCTGTATTTTGCTCTGATAAGAAGCTGAATTCTAACAGAGTCACCGTTTGATCTGCACACTGAAGCCACGATGGCTCCCAAATGTGTCTTTGCCTCTTCTGGGAAGGACATGAAGGTATTATTTCCATGTTTGTCCCGTTGGCAACTCCTGACACTGTGCTGGTTATTACTTACACAAACAGAAACCTGCAGCCAATCAAAATAATATGGTTGGCAAGGAATCTGGGCAAACTTTAATAGCTATGGTTCTTCAACATAAAAAGGATAAAAGTAGAATAATAATTTTTGGCAGGGGAAGCGGGGAATTTTTTAAATTCTGATTGTTTTCCTATGAGGATAGTGTTAGTGAAGTCTAACTTAAAACATGCTGTTCTGGTTTCATGAATTCACAGGGAGCGAGGTTCTGCTGGGCCCACTGAGTTACACTCAGCTCCTTCCCTCTCCTGCTGGAGTTATCTGGAGCTCACAAGGTAAGAGAGGGGGGCTTGGCACAGGAGCTGCATGGCTGAAATAATTCCAATGTCCTTCTGAAAGGAGTTATCTGCACGTGCAAGTGCGCTGCAGAGGAATACACAGAGCTCTCTCTGCAAGGAAGTGTAATTAACTTCAGCCTCCTGGGGAACACAGAGCCAGCCTCCACCAAGATGGACATCAATCCAACTATAAACCCCATTCTCACTGAGTTCTTCACTTCCATTTTCAACAAGCCCCAGTGCTGTGCTCAGGACTGCATCAGCCTGACACTCCTTCACTGGAATCTGATGAAGCAAATAAGCAGAGTTGTGTTAATTTAGTAGCAACTACACTCACTTGCCATAAAATTAACCCCTGGAAAAGCTGATTTAGTCAGTTTTCCATTAAAAAATTCCATCCTGTCTAATAAAGCCTATTTTGTAGGCAAAGAATTAGGTAAATCTGTTAAACTGTAGTAAGGAGCAGAATCAGAACAGTAATATCAGAAGCAAATAAACTTCCTTAATTAGTAGTTAATAATGTGAAGTTGTGGCTCTTCTAGAAAACAAAATCCTGTAAACATTTTCTCTGCCTTATGAAAAAAATAAGAACCAAGATAAGATACTCCAACTATCTTAATCAAAATTTGTCTTTTAACATTTTTGAAATACTTAATTCTGATTTTTACCTGTATATGACTGTGCTTTGTTTTGGAACAAAAGTCATGCAGAGCCACAAATCAGAATGGTCTGTTTGATGGCACTGAAGTGAACTTCCTTTCCAAAGGTAATAACATAAAGAAGCTAAGAAGCATTTTGAATAAAAAAGTCTATTGTATATGGAGTGGTTTGCATGAATTGGCATTTTTTGATTTAAAAAAAGTTTGCTGAAATATTTCCCAAAGCAGATCTACCTGGGCCCTTAATTCATTGGCAAAGACTCAGTATCAGCCATTTAAAATATGTGTTTCATCATGTACCTAAAACAGTGACATCCTTTAAAAACATGTAATACAAAAATCTTTTATTTCCTTATACTACATATTTACAATTCTATTACCAAGGTACTGTGGAAAATGTAAACAAGAATACATGGCTGTAAATAATATGGCTTGAGAAAGGTTTGCCCTTTGATTAGCTGCTCGAATCACACATCAATCTACAAAAATAAGAGAAAAACAGTACATTTGATACACTCTGCTGTCTGACAGCAGTGTAAAGGGGTTTATGTGCTGAGTAAGCACACCAGCCTCTGGGCAGCTGGAAGGAACTGGAATGTCTGGAATGTGGCCAGGGGATGGGCTGTCCTCAGAAGAGAAGACCAAGGCTGTACCCAACTTCCCCATGGGGGCTGTGGGGAGAGGAAGCCAAACGCTCCTCAGAGATCCACTCTGAAAGGATGAGAACCAGTGGAACAAAGATGAAACTGAAGAAATTCTGATTAGAAACCAGAGGGGAAAAAAAAAAAAAAAAGGAAGAAAATGAAATCTCCACTAGGACAGGTTCAAAGAGGTGGTGGGATCTCCATTCTTGGAGATATTCAAAACTGGGTGAGATGAATCTCTGAAATTTGACTTGAATGATGAAATTCTGACCCATTTGACTCTGAAGTTGATCAGGCTTTAAAGGGAAGCTCAGACCTTCAGAGGTTTTCTACAGCTTTACTCACTCAATCATTCTACAAAATATCTTCAGTACAGTGTGACACTTGCACTGCTGTTGTAGTTTGGCTCTGCAGTAAATACAGGGCTAAGACCAAAATATGCCAACTGCTCAACTTGAATTGCTCTTCTCCAGCAGTTGCTAAGATTCTACCTCATTGTTTCACAGGAGATTTACCTTACAGGTTCCTGTTCAGTGAAACTGCCCCAAATTCACACAATGGTAGGATCAGACCCAGGCCATCACACCTCCAAAAGAACATTTAAAATATCACTGCCTTGTTGAGAGTCACACACTTCTGGGACCATAATTCTGCCACATTTACATTGAATTAACTTTCCAGTGACATTCATTGAGCTCCACAGAAGAAATTAAAAGAGATCAGCATCAGCCCCAGTGATTTTCTGGCTGAAAGCACAGTTAGTTAATTAATTTTGACACATTCACAAATACCTTTACTTTCAATACCTACAAAGTGATGAATAACAACAATAAGACTTCCATGAAGGTTGGAAAACACCTCCTAAAACTGTATTGCCTCCCATAGATCACAATTTGAAATAAACTCCCAGGGGAGCAAGCGCCACTTGCTTTGGCCTGGACAGTCATTGACTGCAGATTTGTTTAAGACCTTGGTGAACCATGGGGGAAAATTGTTACCTCACCTTCCCATCCAACCTCCTGGATCCTGCTTCACCAACTCATCACTTACCCAACCACAACTTCTTCAAAAATTCCAAGGTTCCATCAATTATTGTAATTTTGTCTCTTGCAAAACAAAACCGTGCTCTTGCAGAGCTGCAGTTTGCTCTGGTGGGAAATGGAGTGTCAGTACAAGAGCTGGAACTGCCCCTACTCTGTGCCTACCATGGTCCTGATGCTCCTTCTTAAGTGCACTTTTGATACAGCCAGAATCAAGTGGTTACTACACAGATTTTGTAACTCCTAACCTAAAAAGAGGTATAAAGAGGAATTCTGAAATCTTTTAGTCTGGTTAACAGAATATTAAAATACAGAACATACATTTCTTTATAATGAAATAGTTCAATATCGAAGGAAAACCTGTCTAAACAGACAAAATAGCACCAAAATGTCTCTGCTCTATGAGGTGGCCACCAGCAGCTGTTGAATGGGATCAGGACTGTTGTGAGATGACTTGATAGAAAACAAATTGCTCAATAAAAGCACAAACCCCAGAGACAGTATCTTTAAGCATCTCTCCTTGCTTACTATCTGCTTTCTCCACTCAAGATAAAACCTTTTCTGCATTAGCAGATACTGTTTGATGAGAAGTGCTGCACAGTTTGGCTTGACAACCCACTGAGAAATTCATCTGGCAAGATGTGAGAACACAGGGTGCCAGGAGAGTCTGGCAGATGACACCACGCTCTTTGGAAGGCAGATTCAGGCAGAGACCTTCCAATCAGTCAAACCACACCAGAAATGCAGAAGATGCTCTTAAATAAATTAACAGCGTGTTGAGGACTCTTGTCGGATTGTAGCAGATTCTTCTTCAGCTAAAAGTTCAAAATTAGACTGCGTGCTTCTCTAGAACACACCACGTTATTCAAAGAGGAATTAACTTGATAAATCCCTCTAGTTTCTGTGCAATGTGATTTTGCAATGAATCTGTAGAGAAATAATCTGTGGAATACTCTTCAAACTTGGTGCTGGTTGTCAAGTGGGTTTAGAAAGTCCCTGATAGGGAGTGTGGCTCATTCCATGGTGATGTGTTACATGCTGCTTATCCTGATACTCTCTGGAGCTGCTCTGATTAAAAACATGTCCAGGCTTTCAAGAAATGAATTATATTAATACCAGAAAGAATGTCCAGAGTAGATTAATGGAGGGGCAAGAGGCTAGGAATGAACACATGAAACAGATTCAACTCTTTAAAAGGATCCAGCTACTAAATGGCCTCTGTAGTCTTCCATAAGAAGTGTGAATACTTCAGTACAATTCAAGCTGAATTGAATAACTGTTTTCATATCCAAATTCAAATACCGTCTGTGCATATAAAACAGTTCATTTATTAGTCCAAATGTTACTGTTGTAGAGCTCTTGGAAAAATACTCCCTCTTTCTTGAGCTTGTTCTTCATAAAAAGGAAGCTTTGGAGGGCCACCTAGAGAATTAAGTAGAAACATGGTTTCAGGTCCATATAACCTAATACCGAAATATTATATAGATTATACAATTTACACTTAAGTAATTCAATCAATGGCAGCCTTGAAGAGAAGGTAGAGGAGGGAGTTACAGCAGCCTCCTCACAGAGGCAGAGAGCAGGCAAAACTATAAAACACCTCCGAATCAGAAGGTTCCCAAAGTTTTTCCTAAACTAAAGGAGGAATTGTGATTACTCCACACTGAGAGGAAACTTTCCCTCCGCACTCTATTTCATTAAGAAGAGAAATTATCCAAACAATCCACTGGGTTGACCCTCCCATCCAAACAGACCACCAGCAGGGGCCAGAGGTGTTTTACCCCCCAGGGAAGGCTGTACTCAGGCTGGTTACCTTCAGTGCAGGTTGGGCCCCTCCAGGAGCCGGGGCAGGCGCAGCTCCCGTTGTGGGGATGGCAGCGGGATCTGCCGGCACACTGGCACCGCAAGGAGCAGCCGGGGCCGTACCTGTCTGCCCTGCACCCTGCAAGGACAGGAGGGTTTGGGGCACGGGGAACACTCCTGGCAGCCTCCCCCCGCTGTGGGATCAGGAAGCTGCTCAGACACCCACATCTGTTCACATTCAAACACGACATTTGGGAAAGCGCGGCAGTCGTCGAGTTTCGTCTGCCACACGCTCTGCCCAAGCTGCAGCCCAGCTGTCCCCAAGAGTTCCCAGAATGGAAATCATGGCTGGTGTAAAAACAGGGGTTGACAGCCCAACAGAGAACATCTTGGGATCTGCTCAGGAAAGTTGGTGTCAGCATCCTGGATCCACACTATCTATCTCCTGCCCCTGTCCCTCCCGCGTGGCTGGGCTGTCAGTACGTGCTTTCCCTCACAGAAGGTGACACTGAGAATTAATCCATTTTATAGATACTCATTTCTTGCACAATTCTGCTGCATCCTGGCAAATTAAACCCACATAAAAAAAAAACCTCACTTCCAAATGCAAATACATTTCATACCTAGGCTGGTAAATCCTCACTGATATTTTTTAAGCACCAGAGGACAGGCAGGAAAGGAAAATGAGCAGCAGGGTCACAAGGCAGGGTGTGAAACACACAGAAAACAATGCCCCTCTCTCCCTCACCTCTCTGAAAACCCTGTAAGCAGGGAATTTGCCTTCTCCCACGAGCACCCTCAGGTAAATAAAGCTCTGCTGAGCCCTGCAGCCCCAGCACGTGGGAGAACTCACCCCGTGCGCTCCGAGCTTGGCCTTTTCAATTAGGAAATGTTATGAGAAAAGGTCTCCCCAAACACCTCTGGACCTGATTTTAATTTATGTAATACCACATTTTCATGTTAATAACAATGTGTATTTAAGACATCTGTTTGAAAGTCTGCAATGTCAATTTACCACAGAAAAAGAACGCCCATAAAAGTCTGTTATATTCTCTCTCTCTTTTTTTTTTTTTTTTTAATTAACATTTTGCCTGTTTAATGGGTGCTTTACCAGAGTTCAAATTAAAATCAGGCCTTTTATCTTTATGGCTGCTGCACAGTCACAGCTGCTCACAGTTATATCACAGATGAACTGAGCCTAATTGAAAATAAAAATGCAAATAAAACCTACCCCATAACAGCTTTTCATGGATGGGGGCTACCCTCACTGATTTAAGAAAAATAAAAATGACTCGCAGAGTTTGTGAGGAAGAAAACCTCAATTCCCATTTTTGGTGCTGAACTTCCCCCTTGCGTTCCACTTCTGCCTAAAGTTTTACTGCAAAGGCCCAGGGACACCCAGGGCTGTGCGGGCGCTGAGGGTGGCTCATGTTCCCACTGGAGCAGTGCTGCAGACTGAGAGATTCATTTCCTGACCACAGGACACTGCTCAGAGGGAAACAAATCATTTTCCATTTTAGTTTTGCAAGTTGCGCTAATGCTTAAGCTCACAGCAATTTGTATTTATAACAGCTTGCTTAAATCTATTTCTGCCCCATCCTAGAACAAAAGGAGAAATAATTTTCCCCCTCTGCTCCAGGGGCTCAGGAGGATTTTGGCTCCTGGTGAAGCTCCACAGCAGCACATGGATGTTCACTCCTTTCATGTTGTTTGTCACAGCATTAGGATCAAATTCTGACACTCAGTTAAACCACTGCAATTCCTTTTACTCCAGTGATTACCCTAAAACTGCTCCATCACAATCACAGAATTCCAGAACAGCTTGGGTTAGAAGGAACCTTTAAACTCCCCTGGTTCCAACCACAGGCATGGGACACTTTTCAGCAGACCAGGTTGCTTTAAGCCCTGTCCAACCTGGCCCTGAGCTCTGATCAGAGCCACAGCTGTGACCAGAGACTGGCTCAGGATCTGCCACTGCTGCCTCTCAGCCCTGCACCCAACCCCACCAGGGCACAGCACTGGGGCTGGTTTTACCTGCAGGAAAAATTTCTCACCTATTTTTATATCCTTGTTACAGAACAATTCTGCTCCTGTGGGCCAGCACACAGCCTGTGCTGCAAAGCAGGGAATTACATTTGGGTTAAAAGTCCCTGGGCTGCTGCAGCTCTACACCCTCATCTGTGGGGATTCCAGGAGAAGCAAATCCAGATCTGGACACACTTCTGCATTGGTCTGAAAAGGGTCACAAGTGTCAGTGTGACAAAGCACACAGCAACTGGAGCTCTTGGTGACCAACTGCACTCTCTGGAGTCTTCCCCACTACATTTGCAAAACTTCTTGGTCTATTCTTCCTATGTTCTCCAAAACTCAAGGCAAATGACATTTTACAGCTGACCCATGAACAGTTTTCCTATCAGTATATCAATTTAAATATTGATTAAATCAAGAGGTACAAGCCTGCTGATAAAGGTGTTGATAACCACAAAGAGCAATTTTCTACAAACAATGTGTTCTTCAACACCAGCAAATGTCCTTTCACAGTTATTCAGAAGCCAACAGGTCAGAGTGGTTTAACAATACACAATCCAGCCCTTAAAAATATTGCCCTTACCAATGTCACACTTGTCTCCAGTCTTCCCAGGTGGGCAAAGGCACTTCCCAGTCTCTGGGTCACAAGGAGCATCTCCACAGTCACACTGATGCTGGCACCCCTCACCAAACCAGCCCCTGGCACAGCCTGACAGCAAGAGAAACCTTTAGATGCATGTTTGAGTGGCAAAATGTACAACAAACCCAGAGTTTTCCCAGGATGTCTCAGGGGAAAGCTCATAAAGGAAATCAGTGTAAATGCCAAGTTTAATGAAGAAATCAAACATAGTGGAATGGGCACGTTATTTATATGAGCTCTCCTTCTGTTGGGGTTGTCTAATCTAGCTTCTCAAAGGTATCTGTAAATCTGTCCCAGAAATGTAGCTGGCACTTATTTTTATTTTTAATTACAACTCTCTAGAAGACCCCTCCGTAACACTCAACAGGTTTGACATGCACCTATTTAATAATCTTATTTGGAGTTTTAGAAGCAAATTTAGAATCAGTAAAAGGGACTTATTTTTAATAAATGGCATGTGGAACTCATTGTTGCAAGACATCACGGAGACCAGGACTTTCACTGTATTAATTGGAACCAGAGTAGTTAATTTATAAGGGAATGGGAACACCCAGCTGTAGAACAGGAAATCTGTCCCAAATTCAGTGTTTCAGGATATTCATTAAGCTCAAAATATGGAAGAAGTGGCTCTCAACAAATATTTCAGTAATTACATGATGTTTTTTACAATGAGTTCTGCTTTTGGGGTTTTTTTTGGTGTTTTTTTTTTTTTTGGTTTTGTTTTGTTTGGTGTTTTTGTTTTTTTTTTTTTTCCTTTTTCTTTTTTCTTTCCCATCAGAGGTGTACCAGTACCTTTTTCACAGTGGACACCATGATAGCCCAAAGGACAAAGGCACTGTCCTGTCACTGCATCACAGCTCGCTCCATTTTTACAGGCACAGGCCTGAAGACAGCCCAGCCCATAAAATCCAAGGGGGCACCCTGAAAAATTAAAATGAAGAAGGTTCATGGAGAAAATAATACACACCATTAAAATCCTCTGTATTCTCTGTGACATTCCCTGGCAGCCAACAAAAGAAGATATTTATCCTTAACTCTAATAATGCCATGGGTTTTTAAATTTGTACCACCCAGCATCAGAGACATGCAAGATCTGGAAGGAGGTGGATGATTTGGGACATGCCAAAATTTTAACTGAACCAGTGAGGTGTTTCTTAACTCCTCTGAAGCCCCAAACCTGTGACAATTACCAATTATTACCAATTATTACCAATTACCAATTGCCCCGAGTGCCTCCACTTACTGTGCTCACAGGAATGACCGTAGAAGCCCTTGGGGCAGCTGCAGCACCCTGTGAACCTGTCACAGGTGCCATTGTGCTGGCACAGGCAGTCCAGGGAGCAGCCAGCCCCATACTTTCCTGGGAGGCACTCTGCTGGCAGGACATGGACAGAAAAACAAACAAAAATCACTGCCCTCACCCAGAAAAGCTGATATGTGATACATTGCGTTGACAAGAGAAGATACCCAGAGAGTAATTTGCAGACCAATGAATATTTGTTATGAAGACACAGGATTTCTGCACAACTATGATGCATTTACATACTTTGGTGAGAAATCTTTTATGTTATATAGATGTTTGAACAGCAATTTCCTCACTTTTAACAGTCTGCCTTTTTCAATTTCTCTCTTCACAGACTCGATGCTGAACCCACACCATGTGTTGTAAAGCCTTGTAGTGAATAGCATAAATTAGGTTTTCTTTTTTCTTTCTTTATCTACAGCAATATTTTCTTTTAGGCACTTAAAAAGTGTGAAAGAAAACATGAAGCTTTTCCTCCTCTGTGTTATCATTGGAGTTCACACTATTCAAATTCCTAATAAAACCAGGAGGATCTTTTTCACACATAGCAACAGTCTGTCCATGTATAATGAGCTATCTGCTTTTACAGAACTAAACACGTCTCAAATTACTGAAAGCCAAGTCATGCAGAAGGGACTGTGCCAATATAATTAACCTCAGCATCATCTCTGAATAAGTTAACTTCCCACTGCTGGGATAATTTGAATCTGGGCAGACGAACTTAAACGAGCGTGGCCGTCCAAATAATCAGATTGAGAACCCTGCAAATGCCAGACAGGATCTTCCAGGAACATCATATCTAAGCTCTATTAAAAGGATGCCTGATTAGCTGTCTTTGATTTCCAGTCACAACACACTCAAACCCACACTGCTGTGGAGATCAAGACTCAATTTTCCAATAACTTCACTCCCACTGTCAAAAGATAAATAGTGAAGCTCTCTCTAGTGATACAACACACAGTTCCTTATGCAGTGTGTGCATGTCTGCCTCCTGTGCTCCACTCTAGAGATGTTTATCTATGAGATACACCCATAATCCACTTCTCCATGTGGGGCTACCTGCAGCACTCTGCTGAGCCTTGGCAGCCCCAGCTCAGCCTATGGGTGACTACAGAGATCTCCAGGAATAGGCAAAAAAAAGGTGGCCTTTGCTAGGTCACCCAGATATTGGTTAACTGCAAATGTCTTAGAGCCTGTGCCCAGAGAGCATTCACTGCCCACTGAATCCTCAGAGCACTCACACTGTGAGCAGCTGCATCTTTCCTGTCCTGCCTGCTCCTCCTCTGCACACAGATGCACAGCAGGGCTCTGAGTCTCCTCAGATGCAGAGTGGAACAGCTGCATCTCAGAGTGCTGCTAAAAACTGTCATTTCTAGATGACACTTTTATATAGGGACACTCCCCTGTAACAACCAGTTCTTGGTATAGATAGATATGGAGTTTGAGGTGAATATTTGAGGTGTCAGGGACAGAAGTGCTGTAAATGAGAATCTGGGAAGGTGTTGAAGAGCTTGAAACATGGCAGTTATGATTTAATGATGACATTTGTCTTGAATGTGTACTTACAACTATTTACTTGTATTTCATACCGGTAAACTTGTTTCCTGAACATTCAAGTCCATAACAGATATCTCTTACCTACAGAGAAAAATAGGAGCACAGAAATGCAGAATGGTTTCAGGGAGATGGACAGGACAGTTGTGGGAAGACAGGGCTGACAGGGGATATTCTGGAGTAGAATATGAGCTTATTCTGTTAGTGTGCTTTGCCTTGCACAAGGGACAGGCGTCATGGAGAATAAGGGTGAGAGAGCAGGACAATCTCAATTGATTTGGACAGATGTTGTCAGAACATCTGGGAAGTCAACACATGGGAAGCTCAACTCCAGTCCAGAGTCAAATGAAAGAGAACACAACCAGTGAGGTGAAAGACACAGGCTTCCTCTGCTCTGAGGATTAAATGGAAGAAGACAAAACCCAACACTCCTATAGACAAAAGAACACAAAAGTTGGACTGGAGAAGAAATAACAGAGTGCAGAAGAAATAAGGAGTGTGCAGGGGAATTAATGAGCAGGGCTCAGGAGGAAACTGTCTTTGAAAAAAGACCTGAAGCTCTAACTAGGGGCAGTTCTGAACCTGTCCTTGTCTGTGTGTGTCTGGGGACACTGCAAATCCCAGCTTGAGTGTACAAATCCACTGCCATGGAAGCAGGGAATCACCTTCCTCACAGGATCTTCCTGTCCAGCCGAGCCCGCAGGTGCAGTTGCCATCCACGTGGTCACAGATGCCACCGTTCTGACAGGTACACGTCCCATGGCAGTTGGGGCCATACTGTCCCTGGGGACACACTACAGAGAATTAACAAAGTTTGAAAAAACCCAAAAATTAGCACCCCAAGGAAAGGATGAAGGTGACTGGGAATAAATACAAACACATGTTCCCCACGTGTATCCCAAGTGACTAGGGTTTCGCTAGGGTGGTGGGACACTACTACATGATTATTATTAGTTTCACCCAAACACTCTGTCCTGACACAGCCCCTCAGCTTCCTGGAGAGCCCAGTGCCCCAGAGGGTGACAGGGAGGTGTGGGCAGGATTAGGCTGGGCGATGGAGCGAGGAGGGACAGAGGCTGCGCGCCCCAAACTGCAGCCTTATCAGCAAAGGCCCTGGCTGTGAACAATGTCTGGCACTGGGTTTATTTGCTGGGTACTTTGATGTGTCACCCCTGGGAGGTGACCTGGTGCTGCTCTGTTACCTTGCAGACAGGCAGGTCCCGTGTGGCCGGGGGCACAGGAGCACTCGCCGGTCCGTGGGTCACACTGGCCTTTGCCACAGGCACAGGGCTGGGCACAGTCCTTCCCATACCAGCTCTCAGGGCACGCTGAGGGAACACAGGATTTGTTAAACACCCACAGGATCCAATGGCAGTTTTCATTTTCAACATAGCTACAATCTTAGGGGAAGAGCTGGCTTTGTTTTTATTCCCCTTAATGCACTTCAAAGCATCAACCATGAAGCCAGAACCCATCCAAACACATGACTGCTTTACCTTCTGAGACTACTTGTGATCATAAATATAATCCATGATTATAAATAACTTGTGATTATAATAATTATTTAATAAACTTGTGATTATAAATATAACGCACAATTTCACATGGAATATTTACTCTTTCCTATCTGAAGAGTGAATTACTGAAATATCAACTGCTCATTTTTCCAGCTTAAAACATCTTTCCTTCCTTAATACTGATGCTGCCCAGCAATGAAGAGCAAAGCTATGGGCAGCCAAACATTCAAACATTGCCTCTCTATGAATAAGCTGAAGAGAACTTCACAGAGACCAGAGCTTTGGAAGCAGCACAGAAATTCAGCCACAGCATTTAACTGTGAAACACAGAAGTAACAGTAGGGTTGCCATGGAGTCTTTACCAGTTTTGCCATGACAAAACTTGATTTTTTTCCCATTTATTGAAAGGAATGGCACCATAGCGTGAAGCAAAATATTGAGATAATTTCTCAACCTCGAAATTTTGGACAGGAAGAAGGAACTTGAGCAATTCATGCTGAGCTGGCTCTAGAAATAAACTTGGGCTAGCAGGTTGTAATCCTGGGGTAAGTGTCCTTGCTTCTATGCATGCAGGAGTGAGGGAAAATATTTTGCAAGAGATTTTTTTACAAAGCTGGAATCCTGATTTACAATTCAAGGAAGAGGTAGCTGGGATCTGTCTGTTTTTCTTCAGACAAGCTCTTATGCAAATGATTCTCTTTGCTGTGTTTTGACAGGAGCAGAACACGAATGTTGGCTTACTTTTGCTGCAGTTGGCTCCAATGAAACCGGGAGCGCAGTCACAAGCTCCTGACGCGGGGTCACAGCGGCCTCCGTTCATGCATTTACAGGGATTTTGGCAGTTTGAACCATAAGTACCTTCTGGACACCCTGTTTTAAAAGAAAAAATAGCCAGTAATTAGGTTAGGTTGCTACTGGGCCTGTTGCATTTCACGTCTTAAGCGCTTTGTTGTTTTCAATCAAAGTTTGATTTTAATTTTCTAATGTTATTCGCTTCCAGAGGGCCAGTAGTAGGCATTAAGGAGCAGATGACTCCTTTGGACAAAGTGCCCTTGGGACAGCTCTGATTGCACTGTCAAATGCTGGAGAGCTGGACTGAGTGCTGCTGCTCCTGGCTCTGTGCTCTCCCATTCCCCTGATGTGACAGTAGCAGGAAAAGCAAACCCCATTCTACAGAGGTTTTCCTCTTTGGATTTCTGTTCCAAATGAATGTACTCCCTGTTTCCTTCCTACACAGGAGAGATGGGTAATTCTCCCTCTTCCTCTGGGCAGCAGCCACCTGGTTTGTCCAAGTCAGTGAGAAGCTGTGAGCCATTTCTGCCTTTTAGCAGCTGTTTCATGGATATGGGGTAGGTCACATCTTAAAATGTGTAAATTGGAGAAAGTTTGGTCCCTCTATAACCTACTCCTTCCCTGCAAACTGAAGCTGGCACTGTTAGTGCCTGCCCTGAGAAGTTGTGGATTCCCCATCCCTGGAAATGTCCAAGGGCAGGTTGGACAGGGCTTGGAGCGACCTGAGATAATGGAAGGTGGATGGACTGGAACTGGATGGGCTTTAAGCTCCCTTCCAACCCTGTGGATGGAAGACCATGAAAAACGTGCACATGACAGCAACTCAGAATTTCAGAAGACACCTCCTCAGAAGATAGATACAGGAGGAACATTATTTAAATGCAAAGCCAGAAAATTCTCTGAGGAAAAAAGAAGCAGCTGTGTTTTGTGAAGAACCACAAGAATCACCACACCTGGATGGATTGCTGAGCCAGTGTTACATGGCCACAAACTGTCTGTGGAGAGGTTTTCCAGGGGTAGTGAGGATTTCTGGTTTCTTTTTGGACAGCTAATGTTCAAGGAAAATCAAACAAAAGATCAGGAAGATGTAAATGCATTTGCCACACTTTACACCTTCTGCATGATCTTTAGTGATGTTGGCTGGAACTGAGGGGAAGAGCTGGGCAGAGCTGCTGGGCAGGGGCATCAGTGAATCTCCAGTGTGCCACCTCTGAACTCCAGAAATGCAGGTTATTCCCCTAATTTTCCAGTGTAGTGGAAGAAGGAGTAGCTGGTGCTCAAGCAGGATGATCATCATCCAACAGTTCCACTTGTGCTACTACCTCCAAATGCCATTTCTTTGCTCACCCCTTCCTTTTCTTCCCTGGCAGAAGGAAAGTCTGTGGCTACTTTAGAAACCTGGTTGAAAATATATTTGCTCACGTCTCCAAGCAACAGATCCCTTGCAATCTGTGCACAAATAACTTCATGTATTCTGTCTTTCCTAAAGGCACGAAAGCAGGGCCTGAGTGGCTGGAGAAATCTCTGGCTTTTCTGAACTATTCAAGAGTGAGGGAGAGCTTATGGGAAGCTTTGAAGGGGTGCCTTTTAAAATAAAACTGAACCTTGGCTTCTGCTCAAACCAGGATAGCAGATCATCAGGACTAAGCAGATACACGCTTTTATAACGTGCAGATACTCTCCCCAGCCCTTCCCAAACACAGATTCCTCTCAATGAATGCTCTGTTGTCAGTGGTTCCATCTGCCAGGATTCAAAATCTGTTTCATGTGCAAGCCCTGGCATCAAGGAGTGAGCCCTGCAACACCCCCTTCATTCCCACCAGGACTTCAAGGGAAGGTCTCATCCAGATTCAATTATTTAATTACTCTGTGTGAGCTTCTCTTTTCCTCCTTCTTTTCCTTTTGGTCATCACTTGGATTTTCTCCTTTTTTTAAGAAATTCTGTCTCCCAGACTCCAAAAGATGCTGCTTCTCCCTGGCAAAGCTTTCAGAGCTATTCCTTAGCTCAAGGCTAGCAGGAGCTGCTCCATGACTGAGATGCAGCAATTCCCTCCTTCCCAAATTCTTTGTCCTTGCCATATTTTGGCACAAGAAGGAGCAGCACACGCAGGGCATGTTCAGCTGCTGCACCGTGCACATGCTCAATAACAAGGCCACCTCATCTGTTAGTACTTTGCAGAAGAATTTTGAGGCAGATAACGAGGGCAATTTGCACCATGTCCCACCATTTCAGCAGGCTCTGCCTTTGCAGAGAGGGCTATTCTTGCACCACCAGTTATCTCATAAAGACATTTTCTAATTTAACAGTTTCCTGCGCTTCTGAGTTATGTTTTTTCTGTGAACAAAAGAGTGGCAGCCAGATTTCCACCTCATTTCCTGATTTTCCTTCTGCTTTGAGTGGGTTTGTCATGACCAAGCGCTCCTAAATCTTTCCATAGCAATTGCACACACTGAGGTTTTCTGACCAATGCTATTAAATCACATTGTCAAATAATCCCTTCTGACACATCCTGTCACTTTCAGCCTGAGGGTGAAGCTGGTGAGATCTTTCTGGCTCTGGGTACTCCCAGCCCAGTCAATGTCACAGAAACATACCATGCTTTTTTTTTAAAAAAAAATAATTTCACCACCACTTATTGCTTTTTACTCCTTTTAACAAGTAGACCTGCCCATCCACCAAGTTATGGACAAGTGATGGGAACCTTATTGCTAGCTTGTCTGCTTCCTCTGCACCATGCCAAGAGACTTTTTCAGCTCCTCACTCCAAAATTTGTGAACATGAAAGCCCCGTTGCTCTTGGCTCCTGGAAATTTGACTTCCCAGCCAACTACACCTTTTATAGATACTTTCTTGAACCTTTTTTTCATAAATACAGCAACAGTTGCCAGGAACTGTTTCCAGCAGCATCCAACCACATGTTGACTGGACCAGAGCCCATTTGGGAGCGGCTCCCTGGGCTGGTTTAATATTCCATCGAGAGCTTCTTCACCCTGGAGCAGCCCCAGCTTTCCCTGCAGGCAGGACAGCAGGAGCTTGCAGCATTCCCACCAAAGTCACGCCAGCCATCCTTGGTTTTCAGTCAGGCACTTCAGAATCAGGCCCACAATCTCTCCCTCCACTGGCCTGAACTTAAAATAATCCACAATTAACTGTTCTCCTTCTATTTTTTGTGTCTATGAGTGGCACAGGGGACAACGGGAACAACACCAACATAGATGAGTATTTTTCTGTGAGCTTCCATAATTTCATTATTTCACCAATAAATATCTAACAAACCCATGCTTAAGAATTTGCTGTACATTTTTGGAATCTCAGAGTACAAAACACCATGAAATCTCAAATCTCATATGCTTTAGTTTTAATCCCAGCTACACAGAAATCCACGGCAAAAATCCCCCCTGAATGCATCAAAACTCATTTTATTTTGCAATGAGTATTTTTATATCTTTTCTATCAGAACTTCAGTGTAATTGTTTAAACATTAAATTTTAAAATTCTGAAATAAAATCTTTAGTATCTAAGTAAGTTTGAGAACGTTTACTGTAATGAGAGATTTAGTGCTATGTGCACAGGTAATGAATACTGAGATATTGCTACATAAAGGTAATAGGCTGACCATGATTAAGTCTTTTAAAATGATCCTGTTAAATAGTTGATCTCCACTACTGCTTTACTACAACATTTATTATAATCTAATGTATAATGGATCCAGATGGCTCCAGCCCCAGTGTTGAAGGCCAGGTTTCGATCTCACTTACAGCAAAAACTGATGCACAGAGGAGGACAGGATCAATCCTTTGTATTTTATTTATAATTTATATTTTAAAGAATAACTTGTGATGACGTGATGGCAATACAAAGGCCCATCTCTAAATTAAGCCTTTCCCCTATTTCTGCTCATGGAATAAAACAGTGGTTTAACCCTTACTAGAGCTGTGCGTGTGACAGCTGGCTTTTGTCACCCCAAAAGGCAATTAAGCCAAACAGAGCTGTGTTGGATTCCCAAGAAAGGGAAATCAGCACTCACTAAAGAGAGAAAAATTGAACAAGAAAGACAACAGCTTTTTCTTTTTTCCCTTTTTTTCTGCTCTAAATGAGACTACTACAAGCCATGGAGTAAAACCAAAATTAAAGTTGTAAATAAAAAGGTAATTAACTGTCTCCTTTATTGGCTGCTTTGGTATATGTTTCTTATCAGTTGCCACATTCCACCAAAAACAACTTTACAGATGTCCTAAAATACCAGCATGAGCCATGTGGATCTGGGAATATTTTTTATGATGGAGTATTGGGCCAATTGGCATTTTGTCCTCTACACTAGTCACCATTTTTCAATCCAGAGTAACAGTTGGTTTAATTTGATTGTTCCTCAGAAGGCTCTGTAACTGAAAGGACTTTATGAATCACTTGGATTTATTGCCAATTTCAGCTTGTTGTTTTCTCATAACCATTTGTCCTTACTTGAGCACGCAGAGATTTCCGGAAGTATTTCGGACTTGGTATTTGGAAATGAGAGAGCTGCACAAAATCCAGGTGTAGCCGAGAGATGCAACGCAGAGAGTGATCTTTACATTCTTTAGTGTGGCATGAGATCGGGAAGAATTTAGCTGGTAAATCTGGTAGGCTTAAAAATTAATCTGAAGGATTGAATTAATTACATTTTTGAAGTAACATTATTAATTAATTTTTTTAGAATTAAAAAATGTTATAAAAATTTTTAAAATTAATTCCTTGCAATAATACAACTACTTTTTCAGTGTAAATTAGCCCACCCTATGCTTACTCCCTATACTATAATTTATTTGTAATGCTGTAACTTTTGTACTATAGTTAGCCTCTACTTCTCTCAGTCACCACTGTACTGACACAGATGAACCCAAAGCTTCAGCAGATGCTCCTGAAAGACTCAGTTCTCTTTCAGAAAGGCAGAAACCCCCAAAAATACTCACGGAGGTGGCACTGTGCCCCATGGTAGCCCGGGCTGCAGGAGCAGTGGCCGGTGACAGGGTGGCATTCCTGATTCTCAGCAGAGCACTGGCACACTCCCTGACAGTCCTGCCCATACGTGCCCGCTGGACAAGCTTTGGGAAGAAGAAATGCAAACCAATAAATTAAATTTGTCTTGGTAAATATAGTGCTCAAACAAAGAGCGGGCTGAAATTTATTAAATAAAATCCCTGCCTACGGAATGACGCTCTCCTGCGGGACTTTGAATTTATTACATTTACTTGGGGGTTACTTGAATGCTTGATTTTGTTTTGTTCAGTCAATTTGTGCCCAACTGTCAAGGGCCAGATACAATTTTCTTGTCACTAGAAAAAAAATCATAGGGAAATGTCAGGTGAAATTGACTAAAATAACAGTGTAACTCCCAAGGGACCAGGCGTGTGGATAAAGACATTCTGCCTTTTGCAGGGAGTTTAAACTTGCAAAGCTGCTGAAACATCAACATCAACAGGTTTCACTCTGCTTGCTGACAGCCACATTGCCTACAGGTTTTGGACCGTCCACATTTAATTCTTACATCTCATTTCCATTAAGCTGCCCTGGTTGTGGGTCAGCATTTAGAGTCCTCTGGTGGAGGATAATGGACACTGATGTCAGTCCTTTCAATTCTTATTTATTGCTGGTTCTCCTTTGGCTAACACAAGGCTCAGGCAAAGTTTTGTAGGGAGGAAAAAAATCAGGGTGTGGCAGCTGGGGTCAAAACAGGAGCCTGATTTTAAATACAGCTCTGGGGGACCAAACTCCATGCTAAGAAAGCAGAAAATGTCCTTTCCATGAGCTCTGAGAGCAGGAATAGATAGCCTAGCATAGGGACAAGGCCAACAGAAGCTGAACTGCTGCTTCACTGGCTGTGGGCAGGGCAGAGCTCCACTGGCACATCCTCAGCCTGTTTGGGGCCAGTTCAGCCCCTGGCCAGCAGCCCAAACAGAACTCAGAGCTGGCCAAACCACCCAGGTGAGGGACAAGCACCCTTGGCCATCTCCCCTCCCATCAGGTTGGTGTCTCCTCCCTCCTCAGGCACCACACCACCACATTC